TTGAGAGTTAAGTTGGCATATATGAAGGCTTTTACTCTGTGAGTCTCTTATAAATGCCTCATCGTCATTGAATCCGAAATTAAATATGTAGTTAACTGCAAATAGTTTTGGATCGGAGATTTGCCATATGATTTTTTCTCTTTTCCTTCTTCAATTGAGAATATTTCAAGCAATAATTAGTTAATTTGCTTTGATTTAGCATACGAGCTTCACCTTTCGCTTTTTCACTTTAGATTATTTCATATATATAAAATAATAAAATATATTTTAGAAGATGCATAAATAAATATTAAATGATTAAATAAAAGTGTAAGACTAAATTAAGAAGTATTTGTAATTTTAATAATTAGTTTAAATTAGTTAATAAAGTGATTCTATTCCGCTTAAAATGAGGCGGCTCATCAGTATACGATTATTAGTCAGGTAATCTAAATTTCGACAGATCAATTAACATTTAAATGAAAATTGGAAAAATACAATTTATATAAAATAACCTTTATTTAATAAAATTGTATTAAATTATTTAAAAATTTATTTTTTTTTTAATATGGCAAAAATCTTTGTTGGGGCTCATTCCAAAAAAAAACTTAGAAACTACTTTTTGACAATTGTTAATAAATAAACAGAATAGTGCAAAGATGAGTGAGATAATAATAAGTTATGATGAAATAAATAAGTAAATAATAATGTATTTTATAAATAAGTTCGAGCTTTGACAAAATCCTTTCCATGTGAGAAAAGATTTAAGATTTAATTTGCTTCAACCTAGTATGATGAGATATAATGATCATAATAATTTATAAATATTCCTTTATATTATATCAATACTTTACTCACCTGCAAAAATTATTCTTATGTTAATCAAGTTCCCATTCTAATCATCATCATCATAATCGACAAACTGCAACTTTCTTTGCTTTAGGATTGGGCCAGTGTCCTTCCGAGTTGTTGCATTGGTGTGCTGAGTCTGCTGAGTCTCACAGACTTTCTCTGTGCTGGGCCATTGGATGAGTTGGGTCTCGGGCACATTCGCGTGGTCTTCGGCTGTTGCTGCTCTCGACATGGGCGAGTATCTCAAGCGATAGCGCTTTAGGTACTGCGGCACAGCCGGCACATTTCCCGTGGTATGAAAGTCCACAATTCCATTGATATAAACAGGACGGAGCAGGCTGCAGAGCTGTATGAGATTTATTCGATTCGGTATGGGAGACCACTGAAGCTCTTCCAGTGGATATGGGGTTTCCGAATCATTGCTATGGACAGCCTCAATTTTCACAGTTACTGCATAGCCGGGCTGCTCGAAGCGCCTGCGATCTGCACCCAAGCAGCTATAGCTATGCAAATAGGAGTTCATCAGTTTGATGTGGCCGAAGAGTGTCGTGGTTTGAGCTAGACGCGTGACCAGATACTCATAGCCAAACAGAGGCAGCCTGAGCACACAGGCCCCGCCCACGGATGCCGCATGCTCGGCGATCTTTCTGGCAACCTCGTCGAAGTCCATATGCTGGAACGGCTGATCGGCTTCCTGCAGATTCAGATAGAGCTCATCGGTGCCCTGGGCAATCCACTCCTGATAGGTCAAATTGCCCATCAGCCGACAGAGATCATCCTGCTGCATGGCTGAGTAGTAGAAGAGCAATCGGCCGCCCTGCGGCTTGCGGATGAGCAGCATTAGGCTGTTGCCGATTTCATTGCCGGCACAGAGCATCAGCTCCAGTCGCTTGCCATCGCTGAGGCGCAGCTGCAAGGGCTGCGCCTCCTTGACTATATGAAAGTCCTGCTGGGACACCTTGGCGCCACGACTGTTTAGGTAGCTGAGCAGCTGATTGGCCAGCGGCTGGGTGGTGTACATCTTGCAGAACTGCTTGGGCAGTCGCTCCAGCTTGTCCTGCATGCCATAGAGATGCGTGATGAAGACCTTGATGTGGCTCTCGTACAGCTTTGGTATGACATCCACAACTATTTCGGGATACTCCTTGAAGCGCATTTTGACTGAAAGTAAAGAATTAAAGTGAAGAGTCAATATAGTGTACTACTACTACTTGAAGTAGTAAATAAATGGCATAATCAGAAATCTATATATAATTTAATGTTTTAATTTACATAAAAACATAAATAAATTTATTAATAAATTACCTAATAAAAGTGTAAAAAAAAATAAAATTAATAAATTAAAAAAAAAAATTCATAAAAAAATATATAAAAGAAAATAAAAAATATTATTAAATTTATAAATAAAAAATATATAAATTAATGAATATCTTAGTAAATATTTTAAAACATAAACAAATTAATAAATAAATGTAAAATATAAATAAATGTATTTTCTTAAACATAAACAAATCAATAAAAAAAATTATTAAATAAATAAATAAATTCAAATAAAAAGTTAATAAGTAATAAAAAATATATATAACAATAAATAAATGAAAGTATGAGTAAAACATAAATAAATAAATGACTGCAAAAATATATGTAAATTCATATTGTTAAAATAAATCAGTAAACAAATAAATATATATATGAAATAGAAAATGAAATAATTAAACATATAAACAAAATAAACAATTGAAAATATGAATGAAATACAAATAAATTAAAAAATATAAGTAAATGTATTTTTTGTAAACATAAATCAATCAATAAACAATTAATTAAAAAATAAATAAAATACAAAAGAAAATAATATATAAAATTAGTAAATACTTATTTAAACATATACACAAAAATAAATAATTTAAAAAATAGATAAATAAATTTAATTGCAATAAATTGTAATAAAGAAATTGACAATAACAAAATGTAAATGAATAAATAAATAAACACGTAAAAAACTAAGGAAATAAAAATGCGCAAATAAAATAAAATATAGATGCTTATTAATTCACAAATAAATAAACAATGTCATAATATCCCAGTTGACAGCCTCGCCCACCTGATGACCTTTTCTGAAAGCTTAGTCCAAAGCGGATGCGCGGATGGATGGCCTATAATTGATCAACATGAACCCAAAAACCACGACTTTGACTTTGCGTAATTTCCCCAAATACGAAAATAAATGCGAAAAATAAGCGCGAAAAGTAAACAACAAAATTTCGCAGCAACGTCAGGTTGAATGCCAGCCATTGGCATAGATCTCGAATTGGCAACACCTCAGTTCGGTTCGGCTTAGCTCATAAAAGTCGTTACTGGCACAGCCCACAATCTGGAGATTTTGGTTTCGCTTTCGGTATGACCGTCAAAAACGTACCACGAGCTGGTTACCTCACCCAGCCGCCAGTCGATAGATGAGACGTGTAAATTATTATTACGCTGGGGCAAAAGAAAGCAGCGTGGGGGGCTACCCACGCTCTCTAGCTCCCGCTCCAGCTGAGGTCTCTGACTAGACCAGAAAATTGCTCAATGTCGCTTAACCCGACTGCAGCTGAATGCCAACCTCTTGTTGTCTTCTTCTGTTGTGTTGTTGTTGTTGTTGTCTGTTGTCTGTTGTGCTGCTTGACTCAGCTGACTCTTTTCAGCTTCATCGCCCGGTTTTAACTTTCACTCTCTGAACAGCTAATTTGCTTAGCTGGTTGCCGCCGCGAGCTCTCGGCTCATTATAATTAAGCCATTTGAGGCGGTGGCACCCAGATTTGCTGCGACCATTGTACAATAATTCGCTTGGCTATTTATGTAGCTTTATAGAAGAGTATTACAAATGTAATGCAACTATCTGATTTAATTAGCGCCGTTATACAGCCAAAGCGAGTTCAACGAACTCTCAACTGTCAGATTACCCAACGAATGTCTTTGTGGCAAACAAGTTTACCGATTCGATCGCCTTTAGAAAACATGTTCAATTGTTGCACAAATCATTTGATAAGCATTGTTTGTACTTTGAACTTTCATCAGGGATGACTAATGGCCCAAAATATGGATATACCAAGTCAGGGTATTCTGTTAAAATATTGATTTCTGCTTTCACAGAGTGCAAGATCTTTAATAATTTTATATTTGTAATAATATGTGTCGAATTTAATATGAAATATATTTCATATAATTGTATGATATTATTACATTACCTACTAATTGTTTTTCCTTAAATGTGCCTATGAGAGTCGTAGTATTTTCGATCTACTTTCGTATTATTATTTTGTTCTCTCTCAGAGTATAAGTGTTCAAGCAAATATTTATATGAGTTGATTTGCCTTTGAGTTTATTTTTTTGATTCATATGCTTCATATTTAATATGATTAACATTAAGCAAGCGATATATATACCCAAGTATCCATATAGTCTATTTAATCAGAGAGTATAAGAGCTGAAAGAAAGCTCTCATTTGACTCAAATTTAAGTTGCTTTACAAACATATTTTGCTTGACTCATAATAAAATTTATGAAATAAAACAAGTAACAATCAATAATTTAAATATAATTGCTAACATCTTAAAATAAATTTCTTTTTAATGTATAGAGTATCATTAATATTTATTTTTAGCTTAGACTGACTGATACTCTTTCTTGTCTGCATATTAATAATACATGCCTAATCAGATTAATTTCTAATTCTTCATTAGACTCTACTAAGGGCCTTGTGCTACTTCTTCAATCTTAACTAGTTAACCTTAAGTTGTTGGTATTTGCCTCACTTAAATATAAATTATGCGTAATAAAAACAAAGTCAACTTCAATTTTACTCCGTCTGTCTTTCTAGTTGATCTCTGTGCTCATCTTAACTTTCGCACATCTGTCCAATTTTATTATTACCCAATTGCTGCAATCTCTCGCATGCCCTCTCTCTCACTCCCATTCAGTTACTCTCTGATGATCCGCTCTCTAACCAGCAGCTGGTTAAACATAATTTCGGCAACGTTTTCACTCTTCGCCCGAGCATCTTTTGCGAGCTGGCGAAACTCTCTCCTGCTCTTGCGCTCCTCTGCAGCGAGTCGAGACTGAGCTCGAATTGGCTCGTCGCTGCTTGGAGCTTGGCACTTGGGGCTTGGCGCATGCTCAGCGCCGGCGTCGCGTGTCAAACGAACGCCAAACTCAAAGCCGGAAAGACGTCGCTGGCGCTGTCTTCTTACCAAGAGGCAGTTGAAAAACAAAGCAACATTTCGTTTCGTTTCGAATTTGTTATCGTAGTTGCTTGTAGTTTCTATTTGATGTGAAGTAAGTGGAATCAAAAGCCGAAAGTGTGCAAAATCGAAGCCGGCTAAGCAATTGTCTCTATATATGTATATATGATTGTGTCTGATTGTGTTTGTGTTTGTGCCGCAATTGCGAGTTAAACAAAGCGTAGCGATTGTGACAACAGCTGCCTCTTCGACTATTTTTAAGTTCAACCAGCCACGAAAAGAAAGTTGTCTGGGTCGTTGAGTTGTGCAAGTGAATGAAACATTAAATATTGCGTAAAAATTAGTGAAGAGCCAAAAAACAACAGTAGCAACAACAACAACAAAAATAAACGTAAACAAATCAATGACTCACGCTCCTCCGGGTGAACCTCAACCGAAATCGAACCTCAGCACGCGTCGAGCATAAAAGATAACGGTGCGTTTGTAGCACTAGTAAATTGAACAGGCCACGCCCACATACAGGCCACACAGGCTCTGTGGCATGCACAACACGTACGCTGCTTTTTGGTTTCCGTGTCCATATCCGTGTTCGTCTTTAGTCCAAAATTCCAAGCTCATCTCGAGCGTAAAGTGTCCTTTCGTGTTAGGTGACAACCCTAGCATGTGCGTGCCTCAACAGTCACACACACACACATGCGCAATCGAAGCATTTTGTGCTCAAAGCATTTTGTGATCCTAGCACCTGGTGCAACTGCTGCTCTACGCCCGTTCCATATGAAATTAGCTGACATTTCTTGTTGTAAATGCCAGTGCAGTCTGTTTTGCTGCTGCTCCTGCTACTCCTGCTGCTCCTGCTACTGCTGCTGTAGCAGCTCGTCTTCGCTTTAGTGCAGCGCCCTCTGTTGCCTGTTGGCAGCAAATGCAATTTTCTAGTACTTGCTCGTTGCGGCGTCTCCGCCGTTGCTTGGACCATAAAATTTTGGGCAATTACAGTTACAGCTGCAACAGCAGCAAGCTGATGTTTCAACTTACTCAGACTGTCAGTCAGGCAGTCAGTGACTGTGCATGTGTGTGCGTGTGTGTGTGTAATTGCATGAAATTTAAATTTTATGTGCGAGCAACACATTTTGGCATAGTCGTTTTTATTATATTACGACTAGCGTAAATAATAAATGTAGTTTTTTCGGTTTGCCAGCTGTTTCATCTGTTTGTTCCACCACAAACGCTTTAAAATCAGTTACAAATCGTTTTTGGAAACTTTTTGTGCGTCATCTCGATGAGAAAAATGGGCTCGAAATACTCAAAGCAAGCCAACCTTGACTCCAATTCAAATGCAAATCGAACGACGCTAAATGAGCCACGTTTATGGTGAAATTTATCGCAGAAAGACAACAGAAAATGTGTTATAAACTCAATGAATGAACCGAGTGCTGAAAAGCTAAAGCTACCAAAATTTACCAATAACAGAATTTAAATGCATTGATATTCTGGCAATTTAAAAATGGCTTTCACTGATTTTTAGATTATTGACTAAAAATGACAAAAATTTAGTGAAATTTTGATGACGCAATTTATAAAGTCTGAAGAGTGCTTTAATTATGCCTTAATTTGTGTGCCTTTACTTCATTATCTTTGACTTATCTTGTGTATTTTGTAAAGATATATATTTGATGAACTATTAATATGACAATATTAATATAAATTCCTATAAAAGAAATTTTTTTAAATATATAAGAAAGAAAATATACAATACAAAATAAAATTGAGCTAATTAATTGGAGTATATCAATATAAAAAAGATGAAGCATTCACAGAAGAAAAATTTAAAAATAATAATAATTATTTTACAAAAATACCATCATATACCAACTTAAGACAAAATATAAGATTTATAAAAATCCAATATTAAAAAAATTTTTTTAAAATAAATATTATTAATAAATTAAATAATCAATAAATTTAAAAATTGATAAATACTTATATATAAAAAATAAAAAATTATTATTACTTAAATAGTCAATAAATTTAAAAATTGATTATTACTTATATATATTTAAAAAAAAAAAAAAAAAACGAAAATTTATGTTTTATACGGTATTAAATAAAAAATTTAAATAAAAATCGAAAAAAGGACAACTCAATATGTTAATAATAAATACTTATAAAATAAAAATATATAAAAATTAATATATAATAACTAATATAACTAAATAACATGTATCAAAATATAAAAACAAGTAAAAAAATATATATATATATATATATATAAATAAATAAAAATAAAAGAAAACAGGAAAAACAATAGATGAATTGCTAAAAAAAAAATATTAAAAGCTGATAAATTAAAAAAATAAATAGAAAATTATAAACATAAATAAAAATAAACAAATAAGAAAATATATATTTATATGAATGAAAAACTTAAAAACTAAAAATATATAAGCTAAAAAAAATTATCTACAAAGCATTTAAAAACGCAGTTGCTATCCTGACATTATTCTGTGCTTTTATAATCACAATTCTTCTCCCACTGTCTTCGCTGCACAGAGCTGAGCAAATAAAAGTCCAGAGCAGACAGACGGACGTGTCAGACAGTGCCTATTAAAGTTTGAAGGCCTGTCAACGCTTGGTGGCAACAAATGGTGGCAAATAAAAAGTCACAATAATATGAATAATCTAGCACAAGGCTCAGAGCCGGAGGAGAGCTCAGAGACAGCGTCGAGCACCCAAAAGAGCTAAAGATTATGGATATGATTATACGGCGTAGTCAGCGTCGAAATAAACCTGATGATTACGGCGAGTCGACTCGAGTCGAGTCGCGTTTGCGGCGTGCGGCTGCATAAACACGGCGCAATCATAAAAAACGGAATTAAACAAATGTCAAGTCGTCCTCGACGTCGTCCTCGTCGTCGTCGTCGTCGTCTTGAGCTCTCGACGAGCACGTGAGAATTGCATTAATATGAATGCAAATGCAGCCGCCCGCTATCTCTTCGCCCCTTGCTTTCAATGGGGTAAATCTATAAATTTATGTGCAAATGTTGCGAGAAATTTGCCGCGAGGACTCTAGAGAAATTCGCAATCTTTTTCAGTTTGTAGTCAGAGAGAGAGAGGGGGAGAGAGTGGGAGTAAGAGAGAGAGAGACGTCAAGTCTGACAGCAAGTTTTTATGTTATTATTGCAGGCGACGTGCGAAAAGTGGCTTACGCTTATGAATTGCTGACGTTAGCTGGGGATTTCCAATTGCAAGAGATACTCACACACCGCCACGCCCCCACATCCACACGCCCACCCACAACCAGCATGCAGTTTGAGTTTCGGCAACCGCCGCGAAGTATGCTATGGAAAATTGCATTTCTAATTATCGCATTAGCCGGGGACGTGTCGTGCATAAGAAATGGCGCCGGAAATGACGAGTGAGTCTCCATTGATGTCAAGCTTAATTTATGCAAATTTCACCAACACCAGCTCAACTAACCCCCCTATTCCCCCCATGCATTTCCTGACAGGCAGAAACAGATTTCCGCAAAGCTGAAAAACTTTTTGCCCTCCGAGCCGCTGCCTGAAGTGGGCGCCCCCCAGGCTGAGCAGCTGTCCGGCCAGACGTCCGCACGGGTCACAAATGGCGGATTCCGGCCGTCCCAGATGCTGGAGTTCACGCCGTCGGATGTGATGAACGCCGCCAAGCCGCGTTATCCGCCCAGCTACCTGGAGCCCAACTATAAGCATCAGCTGCCCAGCTCCTTAAACAGCCTCAGCTCACAGCACTCGGCCATGGACAAAGTGTTTGCCTTCCCAGAGGAATCGCGGCCGCAGCAGCTGACAACTTTCCACAACTACGCGAGCTCTCAAATACCCACCACGCCGGTGGTCAGCTATCTGGATCCCTTCACGCAGCAAAACTATCGATATACACCCACGCCCACGGCCACGCCCTCGCACTCACACTCGCTCATTGCGACAGCTCCGACGCCCACCTACATACAGTACCAGCGCGAGCGGCCCGGGGAGCAGGGGGATCAGGCGTATACGGTGCAATCGTCTCTGCTCGTTGGCAGCCACTCGCCGCGTCCCGCTGTCGCGGATGAGGTCTACTTGAAGCGACCCGGCTACGTCTTCGACGAGAGCCCCTCGACATCGTATCGTCGACCCGTGACCACGCCCACTGCGGCCACATCGAATAAAATTTCATACGATTCGCACGACTATCCGCCGCCCAGCTATGCCGCCCAGCAGACATCCAATTTCGTGCCCACGCCCACGCAGCGACCCCGCGAGGACCCGCGACCGTCTTACAACCGGCAAGACGTCAGCGGCCCACCGTCGTCTAATTATGCAAACAACTTTGGTAATTATTTGCAGCGGCCACCCAGCTCCAGCTACCGGCCCCAACAATCGGAATACAATACCCCCACGCACTACCAGTACGAGCCGCTGCCTCAGCATCAGGAGCAGCAGCAGCAGCCTCAGCCTCAGCGACCTCAGCGACCGGGCCACAATTACTACGAGTATCAAATTGGCGAGATACCGCCTCAGCAGCGTCCACCCCAGTACAACTATCGTCCAGGTCCGGCGCCTGGCTATCGACCACCCTACCAGCCACAGCCACAGCCACAGGCAGGCGGCTTCTCCACTTTGGCAACGTTGCTGAGCACCACACAACAATATGCGCCACAATTTACAAATCTGCTGTTGGGCGGTGGAGGTAGCTCCTCCTCCTCCTCCTCCTTCTCTGGTGGCAGCCCATTAGGCAGTCTCTTTGGCGCCTTCGCAGGCACGCAGGCTGCGGGGCAGCAGAGCAGTCGACCGCCCAACACACAACTCATTAGAGCCCTGGAGAACATCGCACGCAACGACGATTTGCAGTGTGTGCCCAAGGTGCTCTGCCAGATGATTGCCGGCCAGACGCAACGTGGCCAGCTGCCGGGCTTCATTACGTCCCCGGCCATAACCAAGTGAGTACCGAGTAGCCGTAGCACAAGTGCACCACAATTGCCAGTCTAAATAATGTGGCCAGGGCTTTACTTGTAAGTAAATATTATTAAATTTACATTCCCCATGCCTCTACCCGCTACCCCAACGCCTCTACCCGCTACTGCCAAGCCTCTACCTGCCCACCCCCAGCCCTGTTGCTTGCCTAATTTCAAGCAAGCGTTAACTGGGATTAGACTTCATTCATTATGCAAGTCGATCCGAGCCGTAGCCATATTGATTGTTCTGCGAAATGAGCCACGCTCTGATTGAGCCATGGCCAGCAGTGTGGGGGCAGCTCGTCCGTAAATTGATATGGTTTTGCCTATACGTTGCAAATTGGCATTTACTCAATTAAGTTTTATAGGCAGCTGGGCTAGATAATGAGCAATATAATAGTGATTGAGCTTGCAGTGAAGCTGGGAAATAGATTCATATAAATGAATGTAGTATATGTATGATGTCTGCTTGTAAGGAAACTCTCAAGTTCTGATAATTATTTCGATTACTTTCCATCCAAACAGCTTTCTCGCCGGCTTCCCAGTTGCCTCACCTGCGCTCATTTACGGACGCGCGGCGCTGCTCGGCATCAGCGGAGGTGCGCGGAGCTGTGTGCAGACCTACGAGAGATGCCCCAAGAATGAGGTAAGCTGTTTGTCTGATTTGCCAATCAGGGGGTGTTTAATGATTATTAAAAACTTCAACTTGAACTTCGTCCTCTGCCACCCCCGAACAGATGGAAATCATTCACTATCTGAACAATCATCGCGGCGGCTTTTTTAAGTTCTTCAGCGAGCCGGAAGAGCAACCAGCTGTGCCCCAACAAAGCGAATCTGGCAGCGGCGGCGGCGGCGGAGGCGGTGGCTCATTGTTTAGCATCCTCTCGGCGCTAACCAACGGCGGTCAGAGCCAGGGGCAGGGGCAGGTGACGCGCACCACGCCGCGGCCAGTGGCGCGACCAACACAAAGACCGAGCACGGACATTGCTGATGGCATCGGCAGCTTCTTCACCCGCGTGCTGTCCGAGTATATGAGCGGCGTGGAGTACCAGAGGCGACGCCGTCGAAGGCGGAGTCTGTTGCCAACGGAAATTAAACGCAGCATTCAGACGGATAATGGCCGCTTGATGCCCGTTGATTTTCATGATGAGGAAGACGACTTAGATACCCAGACACCAGTCAGGTTTCAAGACGATGACGAGGCGGAGGCGGCCAAGGCGCACACCGAGCTGATAGGTGTGCTGCAATTTCCCGACGACTTGGACGAGGATGGGGGCGAGAGTCGAATACTGCACTTCAAGAACATTGAAAGCGATGAGCAGCATGACAGCGGAGCTGTGAGGTTTCCGGATGCAACGCCGGAAGCACAGAGCGACAGCCAGCGTAAAGTTATCTACGAGTTCAATCGGAATGCAGCTCAGCGAAAATTGAGATTTCCCCAAGAGCCGAGCGAAGGTGAGCGCCAAGCCAAAACTTTGCAGCTGGCCGAGGGCTGGGAGGCTGTGCTGCCCAATGGACTTACCGAGGAGGATTACGGCAAGCCAAAGCGGCGTGGCAAGCGAATTGTTTTTAGGGACACCAACGAGCAGCTTGACGACCTGGATGAGCGGTTTAGAGAGGAGCAGCAGGAGGCGGAGGAGCGATTGAGGGAACAACAGCTCAGAGAAGAACAATTCAGGGAGCAACAGCTGAGGGAGGACCGACAGATTGAACCACTTGCACCACATGCACCACCAAATGCTGTCTACGAGAACGCGGCACCACCGCAGCGTGGTGCCCGAGTCCTCTTTCCCGACCATTACGAGCGGCACATACGCCGAGGCAAGATACTGAATCGACCCACCTATGCGCCCAGCTACGAATACAATAACAAGCTGGAGGAGAAGGAGCAGCGCTTGGTCGTCAGCGACGAGCATAGGCCCGGCTCCCATTACCGCCTAGAAAGCACCTCAAGTTACCAGACGAGTGACCAGAGCCACAGTCACAGGCAGAGCTTCATGAACTATGGCGAGTATCTGCCCGGCAATACTGTCCGGTTCGATCAGTCGAGCGACAGACCCACCTACAGTGCGCAGTACGACTATCCGAATGCGAACTACATCAGCGACAATCGGTACAGCAGCAGCTATCAGCCTGCCTCGACGAGAAGGCCCCAGCACGAGGACAATAAGAATATCTATGTGACCAATTCCCAGGGGGTGACCGAGTACTACATAAGGCCCGACGGCCGTAAGGTCTACCTGGGCAGCCGTTAGCCTTGTAGAGTGTAAATAGAAGCAGCGTCGTAGAGGCGGTGCCCCTTTAGTTTCTAAGTCTGTAAATAATTGTTAACGCTTAAACCAACTTGAATATTTATTAAAAACATGTTAAGCCACAAGTAGAGGCGGGTTCTTTAATGCGCTGCCATTGTTCGCGGCGACAAACAACAACAAATCAACAAGTATTTCAGGCAAATGAAATATGCAAAAGAAATGCCACATAAATCTAGAGACAAACGGCGCGCGTCATCGCAGGGAATACGTTTGAAAAATTAAATGTGATAAAGCGGAGGGAGACTGCCAGTAAAAAAAAAAAGAGAAAGAAATCCGCACACAATTTCCACATTTCCCAATGGGACGCCGCCTCACGACTTCACAGAGCCAAATCACACAAAAATGCAAAGTGCAAAAAAGTGCAGCGCACACACAGCAGCAAGCTCACAGCCAGGGTTGTCAACGTCACCAAAGCTCAAAGCAGCGCTTGCCGTCTGCTCGCCCACTGTGGGGGCTGGGCTGCCCCACCAGCACAGTGCCTGCAAGCATATGCAACGAGTTAATAAATAGCAAAGCGCCGAGGGCGGACCAGAGTCGGGCCTAGGGTTGGGGCTGTGTATTTTACCAAAAGCCGTAGTTGTAGTACTTGAAGCGAAACAAACAAGAGTTGCACAAAAAAATCGTAGCTTGCGAGCAATGTGAGATACCGATTGCATAATACTCTGTAAATTTGTAAATCAATTTAAAATTGTGAGATTTTTGTGAGCAATTATTATTTTGATTATAAGTATCTGATTAAAAATAAATAATTGCTTTGCTTTTGTTATATGCTGAATCTATAAAATAAACAATGAAGCTTCACTTATTTATATCTAATATTATATAATATTATGTATATATATATATATATTTTTTTTTTTTTCGATACATCGGCTTAGTTTGGACTCTGTTCTGTGAGTGCAATAATTCATTATTCATCATTCGACATTCGTTCATCAGTCATAATTTATGTTGGATTATTATATATTATATTGAGACAAAAAATATTTATTTATTATTTGTGAGTCATTGTTCATTATTTATGATTCACTATGTATTATTCATTATTCAATATTTATTTTTCATTAATTAATTATTCAATATTCGTTCTTCATTATCCATAATTCGTACTTCGAAATTCATAATTCCTAATTCATCATTCATAATTCAGCATTCAGTACTCATATTTCCAACCAGTTTTCATCCTTATTATTTTAATGATTCTTCTTAAAATATGATGGAGGCCATCTTCATACCAAGATTTTCTTGAGTTCGCACCGATCTCTGCCTGAATTAACATTGAAATAAGTCAGAGCGCAAATTTCCTGTGCTGATGCTGATATCTATCATAACGAAACAATCTGTCTACGTTTTTAAGTAATTTTCCCAAGTTTGATATTCAAGATGAAATGGCAATTCTTATTGAACATCTCAATAACTGAATGCTATTTATACTTTATACCTTATACAGTCTGACAACTCGACACTTTTATAGCACAAGCTGCAGCTAAAATGCGCAGCTAAACTGAAAATATCCAATTCGTAGTATATTTTATATATGCATCATGACAGCCTCTGTGCCACATGCCTAGGGTATGTGCAACGAGTCTGCAGCTTAATGCCTTGCGTCAACAATTTGTGCGCGGCGCTGCAAAGTATGCAACTGTTTTTTTCCGTTGCACGCTTTTTGGCGTATCAATTTTTGTTTGCAACCAGACAAATGGTTGGGGTGGAGGGGGGCGGATGGTTCGAGTGTAAAATGCATTGTCCGAACAAATGAAACTTCGAACCGGCCAGAGTGGGCTGAGTGAGCTGAGTGGGGGCAGTCAGTCCAGCTGGATATGTGCTCTTAAAAGTGCAGGCATGCCCCGGCATAGGCAAACACAGAGAGTTTTCATTTTTTGATTTTGTTCTTGTTGATTTATTTGCTTATTCTTCATACTTATGCAAGTCTAAGCCTATGCTGGGTCTGTCGCTTAAATGAGAACCCCTAAAAACAACTAGCAGTACGAATTCATGAAGAATAACTAAAGAGAGAAAAGAAAGTTAAAGTCGGAGTTGGAGTTGGAGTCGGAGTTGGAGTTTGGAAAGAACGTATAAAAGATGTCCATGCGATTGACTGACTACACGATGCAAATGATGCAGATGATGCAGAGCCCCGGCAACTGCGTTGTCTACAATATACTATATACATTATACAATATACAATATACAATATACTATATATAAAATAAGAATAAAATAAATGCCCGCCCGTATTGCAGTTGGTTCTTAGCGCGGCTGGGGCGGCGGCAGTGGTCCGGCGCCTGGACAGGGCATCCGCTTGGCCAGGTGCTTGCATAGCGGCACATCTCGCACAGCATCGCCGATAAAGACCGAGAGCAGATACCATTGTTTCAAGCCGCCGGTTGATTGCACTTTGTAGTTCCTGAGTGGTTGAGTGTTTGAGTACGGCGCATCCAAAGAGATGTTGTTCAGTCAGCCAGTCATCATCATCATCATCAGCAGCAGCAGGAGCAGGAGCAGGAGCAGGAGCAGGCACAATAGTCGGCAACGAAAGCGGATTACAAAAATAATTACTTATAAGTAGCGGGTAATATACACAACACTGCCAGCCCTTTTACTTCTTCTTCTTCTTCTTCTGCATCAGCCCCTTCTGGACTGGGGCCATATTAAAAACAAAAGTAATTTGCGAGCTGCCACTGGGCTGGGCAGGCACGAGGTATTAGAGAGCCTTAAAGCAGACTGGGCGTGGACTCAGTGACATGTTAAAGATGAACTCGATGCATTTGTTAGTGAGTCAAGCAGATGTTAATATTCCATATATATCAAAATATATATCAAAATCATATATCAAAATGAAAATATAATTTATATATAACAAATAGATATTTAAATATTTTATATATTTACATAAATGAATGATTAGGCATAAAAGATGATATGGATGCATTTGTTAGTTAGTCAAAAATGAGCTAATGTATATATATTTAAAAAAAAATACTTTTTTATCAGACATTAGATTTTATATAAAACTAAAACTAATTGAAAATTATGCTATGCCTAAATTAAACATTATTAAATATAAATATGTATATGGAAAATTAACATTATTAAATATACATATGTATATTAAAAATTTATAAAAAAAAAAATAATAATAATAATAAGCCTTCGTCAAAAGGTATTTCAAATTAATTTTAGAATAAAATATTTTTATAAATATTTATTTATATTTTATATATATGTATTTTATATAAATTTTTTTGTATATTTATATAAAATATATTAATAAAAATAAATAAAAAGAATAATTAAAGATTAGACTGAAAGACTTTAATTGCTTATGTTGGTCATTTCTAGCTGTTAAAATAAACCTCTGATATATCAAAGATGAATTTGATGCATTTTTAGTAAGTCAAGGATGACATCTATATATTTAAAGTATTATATTTATATATCTAAAATAATTCATTAATATTTAATTTATTTTATACATATTTTTTAAATATGGTAGCTAATATAATTTAAGTCCCTCAACTTGTGATTTATTTCTTGTCTTTAAAACACTCTTTCTTCACTCGTCCATCTCATTTGTTGTCGATTACCTGGCTGGCCCAAGCCCATGTTTACACACACTCGCTTCGAGTTTCACACGTCTGCAGTGGGATAATTTAATCAACTCGCTAACAAACACATCTGCAGTGCCCGCTGGTTGAGCCCGGACTCGAAGCCGTAGGAAAAGGTGCATCGACTGGCACAACTGACCAGCAGCAGAGCTCTGGCTGGGGCTGTGGCAGGGCTGCACAGTGTGCGCTTGCATAAATTTAATCAAAAACTTTAATCATATTTTATTATTACAAAACACGTCGTGGGCAAACGTACAAAACTTCTAATGCCAATTACATTTGCAGCGCAACGCAAACTAAGCAAACAACACACAAAAAGGGTGGGGCGAGGGGGCGACCAGGGGGTGAAGCAGTCGAACAGACGGACGAATCAGCAAAGCGACGGCTGGAGAGACAACGTAGAGCACATTTCAAAAATAATTTGGAATATTTGCTCTTGACACGTTGGGGGCCAGGCACTTGGCCACGGTCAGAGACCTGAGAGACGAGGGCGGGGTCGGAGACGGGGGGCGTGTGTAAAAGAAACTTTTGAGTGTTGAAAATTTTGCATGTTAAGTGTGAAAGTGTCAGATGCATGTGTTTTGTTGTTGTTGGGGCAGAGGCAAGTGCGAGTGCGATATGACACAATATTAAATGAAATTTACAACAATGGCCAAAACTATGAATGCCAAATGTTGCGCATACGACACGTATGCCATAGATTTCCATGCAAAGAGCTTTTGTTTAAGTCTGAAACTGGCTTTTGTTTGGCCAGAAAATAAACAAGAATTAAATATTTAAACGAGTTGGCCATCAGAACAGAAGAAACCAGAAAACATATCAAAATATCTGTGGGCAGCCAGGCCAAGACTTAAGGAGTGTTTTTATTACGCAGAAATAAAGAGATAGAGAGAGAGAGAGAAATTAATTATGAATCACTGCTGCGCAAGGAAATGCAGAAATGGCCAACAGTGCGGAAAAGAATAATTTCCTCAACTCGGAAGAGTCGTGCATGGCATTACCATGACAATAGCGAGAGCGACGGGGCAACTAACTCATCAGGCGAAGAGAATTTATGTAAACTTACAAATTGAAATCCAAAGGCAATGGGAATACCAATGGCAATGACAATGCCAATGGCAATGGCAATGGCAATGCAATAACATGCACATTTAAACTTTGGGAGTAAGCAGTACGTGCATCTCTAACTGCAAAGGCGAAGGGATAGCGGGGGGAAACATTAAATTATGCGCAGATGAGTTAGCATTGTCAATGACGGGCAGGGGGAAGGGGAAGGGCAATGGTAACGGATACAAAACAGCAAAGAAATAATAAAAATTGATTGGAAAACATTCGCAGCTAAAAACAAGCCATTCATTTGCCAAATGACAACAACAGCAGCGCCAAATTGCAACCTAGCCATAACGAATGCAATCCGAGATGTTCATTTGGAAGAGCAGAGCAGCGCAGAGCGACGGGAA